GGCATGTGGGATCTTCCCAGACCGGGGCACGAACCCGTGTCCCCTGCATCGGCAGGTGGACTCTCAACCACTGCGCCACCAGGGAAGCCCCAAAATGGTGCCTTTTAAAAAAATAATTAACTAATTAATTAATGGCTGCATAGGGTCTTCGTTGCTGCGCGCGGGCTTTCTCCAGTTGCAGCGCGCGGGCTTTCTCCAGTTGCAGCGAGCGGGGGCTACTCCTCGTTGCAGTGCGCGGGCTGCTCATTGCAGTGGCTTCTCTTGTTGCAGAGCACGGGCTCTAGGCACGTGGGCTTCAGTAGTTGTGGCGCATGGGCTTCAGTAGTTGTGGCTCACGGGCTCTAGAGCGCAGGCTCAGTAGTCGTGGCGCACGGGCTTAGTTGCTCTGCGGCATGAGGGATCTTCCCAGACCAGGGCTCGAACCCGTGTCCCCTTCATTGGCTGGCGGATTCTTAACCACTGCACCACCAGGGAAGCCCATAACAATGGTTTTAAAACCAGCAAAATCTTGCCTGCTTCCTTGGAAGCTCAGAGAAGGAAGGTATTTTGGGCAGCTGGTTTTTCAGATAGCCGAAGGCACCATTTTAAATCCTTGGTGTGTTTTTAACAGCCTCAGGTAGAAAGTTTTCTTCAATGTGGTATCTCCCTTCCGGCTGTTATAAATGGCAGAGAGTAAGTATGGTTGAACTTTCCTGAACCTCTGTGTTTTTGAAAGCCCTGAGTCACCCTCAGACCCTTCGGGGAGGGGCGTCTCCACGGTGATGTCTGCAACTTGCTCTGCAGGTTTCAGAGCGAGTGAGCGGGGCCCCTGTCGCGGGCTTAGCGTGTAGGCTCCGTAAATCTTGCCTCTGTCGCCCCCAGGTGGGATCCAGGCTAGCATGGTTGCAGGGGCAGGGCTCTGCCTTCTCTGCTGCCCAGGAGTGCAGAGCTGGACCTGGGGAGTGCATGTACAGGAGGGTGCCCAGGGAGGGGGGAGTGCGCCAGGAGGGCACGCACGCCTGTGCCTGAAGGTGAACCCATGGACCTCACAGGCCTGGCTTTGTCCTCGTGACTCCAGGTCAGAGGCTGCAGCCTCGGGTCTTTAGTGATGTGATTAGCCCCGGTCAGGGGAGTGGTCCCAAGAGGTGGCCTGTCCTGCTGTCGGTCATCAGGCTAGTTCTGAACGTGGGTAGCTGGAAGGAGTTTTATTTTATTTCATTGTGTCTGTTTATCTAAATCTCAAACTATATTTGAATCGCACAAATGAACATGAGAACACGTGTGCAGGTGACCCAGCAGAACCCGCGGAGCTCTTGGCCCGCACATGAGCCCCAGCCGAGAACTTGCCTCCTTCTGCCCGGGGGAGCCCCAGCCCTGCACTTGGAAGGGAGTGATCGCTCTCTCTGCCTTTGCCCCCTGTCCACTGTCTTGTCGCCGACTCCAGGCTTCACTCTGGGTGGGGACAGTGAGGCTGCAGCTGGGGGACCGCGCAGGCTCCTCGGGCCGGGGAGGGGCTTTACAGAGAGGCGGGTGCGGGCAAGGCCCCCCAGCCCTGCCCAGGTCGGAGCCGACCCGGGTGCCGACCGTGGAGAAAGCCTTGAGAAGGAAGTCGGTTTGATTCTGGGGCGGCCCCTCCACCCTGCGTGCACGTCGGCGGTCAGGGCAGCAGGGAAGGGACAGCACGCCGCCGCATTCCTGGCTTTCGGTGAGAAATTAATCCCCCTTCAGCATCTTGACAGCAGCTCATTAAGAGCCTCAGGATGGCAGGCAGGCAGGAGCCTTGCATGCACATCCCACACCTGAGGGTATTTTGTTTCAAGCAGAGTAGATCGCACAGCGGGTTTGCAGGTGAGGACTTGCCGGTTCGCGGTCACAGACGCTGCTGCCGGGAGCAGAACGCAGCGCACAGAACCGGGAGGTGTTTCCTCGGCATTTTTATTGCCAAAGCATGAAGTTTTATGAGTGCCTTTCTGGCGTTCATCTTACACGTGTCGTAAATCCAGCAGATCCAGCTCAGTGTTGCTGGGGGGCCGGGGGCAGGGGGAGGCTGGGACTGCGCTTTCCTTGTTCCGTGAAGCAGGCGCGGGACTTGGGACCTGGCTTTAGCTTTGGCAAATTGTGTGGGCACCTTCCTGCCTCTTGCCCTTTGAGCCCCACGGGATGGACGTTTCTCCCATGACCAGAGTCACCTCGGGTTCCAGGTGGGAAGGGAGAGGGTCACCTCACTGGCCGGCCACTGGGACCAGCTCCAGTGCGGTGCCTGGCCTGGCAGATGCTCCGTGGATATTGTCTCACACCCCACGGAGTGGAGCCTGTCGCCCGTGGGTGCGGAAGGTGAGAGGGTCGTCTGACAGTTACTTGTCACGTGTTCAGACAAAGGCTCGTGGCTGCCGGCGGCCACCTCGCTTTGGTCTCCTGGCAGAGTGGCTGCCTCACCTGACTTGGGCGTTCATGTCCCTCGAGGGTGGCCTGTGGGCATGCGGGTTTGGCCGCCTGTCCCCTCTCTCCACTCCCCTGCAGGTGTCCTGGCTGTGGGGCCTCCAGTGACCACAGATGCTGCTTCTGCAGCCCCCTGGGTGTTACCCTTCAGGGACCCCCACTGCCCGGGAAGGCAGGGGCCAGCCCCGACGGGCTGCCCTCCTGCCTGCTCCCTGGAGCCTCAGCGTGAGGGTCCCCGGAGGCACATTCCTGCGTCAGCCGGTGCTCTGGGACACAGCCTGACCCTGGCCACCTCCACGCCCTGAGCCCAGCCTCCCTCCCTCCGTCCCTCCCTCCGTGGTCCTGCTAACAGCCTGCCTCTGGTTCAGTTTCCAGGCCGAGCGGCCCGCGCTGAACGTCGTCATCTTCCCTCTGCTCCACGAGGGCCTGACCGATGTCATCCGAGACGTTCCCATGGTGCACCTGGACGAGGTCACCTTATTTAAAAGCAGAGTGGCCGAGGAACCGCCAAATCTGTGGTGGTGACAGGAGTGGGCCCCCACCGGCCCGTCGCCGCCTGTGGCCGCTGCGTCTCCGTGGCCGAGGAAGCAGGACTGCCCCAGTCAGGTGTGTGGCTTCCAGCCTGTGCCACGGCCGCCGCGACCGCTCCCCTGCCCGAGGACCCCGGATGCCCGGTGGGTCACCGGAGGAAGGAAGCCCTCTCCCCAGCCCTTAGGGGCCTCCTCTTGTGAGGAGTCTGTGCTCAGTGACGCTCTGGCTGAGATGCGTGAGGCAGCGGCGGCAGGGCCAGCTGTCGGGCGACCTGCGGGCCTGGCCGGCGTGATCTTGGGCTGAGACAGCCATCGCCAGGACACTAACTCCTTGGGGGCCAGGTCCCCAGAGCGCCACGTGACCCCATGGCCGTCCCCCAGCCCCCAGGAGAGGCCCTGTGCTCCTGGTCACCTGCCTCGGGCTCTGTGGAGGGGCGGCTGTGAGCCCGAGGCAGGGAGGGGCTTGCAGGTGCTGTGGCAGATTTGGGGTCTCCCCTCCTTCCATTTAACCCCGTTACACCTCTGGTATGCGTCCAGCCACATGACATCGGACAGGTTCGGGCCAGCAGCGGGTTGCTGGGTAGGGAAGCTGCAGGTCCCTGTGAAGGTCTCTGTTTCTGGGGAAACACGGATAGACCTGCTTCATTAGAAAACCTTGAAATATTAAAACCCAGAAGGGATGTGTGGGGCTGGCGGAGTGATCACATTACCCCGTTTCAGATAGCTTTATTTAGCACTTAAAAAAAATGCAACGCAGCTATTCCCAAAACGAGGGATGTCCTCCCAGTGTCCTGGGCCTCCCGCCACGTGCCACCCAGTGCTTCTGCCTTGTCAGCCGCGAGACTCCCCCCAGAGCCGTCATCCCTGCAGCTGGTGGGCTTCTGAGGGGCCCCAGGTGGGTTCCCTCCACCCAGCGTCTTGCCCAACACTCCCGGTGACGCTCCTGGAGACTTCCAGGGAAGGCTGGGTGGCGTCGGGGCGGCTCCCAGCCGGGGGTACCTGGGTCTCCGCAGAGGTTGCCTCCCCGGGACACCAGGGGCTGGGCCCATCTCGCCCCGGCCTCCCTCTCCCTCTGGGCTGGGGGTGGAGGTTCCCCAGACCCTCCTCACCGCTGCGGCCCGTCTCGGCTGCCGTCCACTCTGTGGCCCCCAGCCCAGCCCACTTCCCACTCTGTTCCGTGTGATGGTCGCCCCGTGTTGTATAGCGTGTCCTATAGTTTGCCTGTTGCAGGGCCCGGTACCTGGACCCTGGGCCTGTGTTCGCCTGCCCCTCCCTGGGTGCTCAAGGGGCAGACAGTTCAGCAGCCCCCGCCCTGCCAGGCCGAGGGGGTCCAGGAGGCATTCCGATGGTGGAAGTGCTCGGAGGGCCAGGGTCTCGGGACGCACACAGGCCCCCGAGTGCTCCGGTCGATTCTCCCTAAGCGCAGTCTGTCTGGTGGCCTCCACCCGTCCCCGCGGCCCCGGCCCTGCTCTCACCTCCCCGCAGCACCGGGTAGAGCTGGGGCTCCTCCCCCTGCGCTGTGGTTTTCTTGCCGAGGGTGCAGTTGTCTCCTCTCTGGAGCGTGGGGTGCCCTCCTCCCTCCCTCCTCAGCTTCCACTGGCGGCTCTTTGCCTCCTGCCCAGAGGGACCTGTCTGCCGGCTGCCCCCAGGTGGGACCCCCCCCAGACCTGCAGACCTCCCCTCCGTAGTCCTGACCTGGCCTGAGAGTCACAACCGGGCCCGCTCCTCTGGCCATGCAGGCGGCAGGCCAGGCTGCCCTGGGCCCTGGAGAGACAGGGCCAAGGCCCTCGTTAGGGCCACATGCTGTAGATGAGGGTCTGAGAGGTGGTGAGAGTCCCCCAGCCCATTTCTGGGCATGTCTTTCAGTTGCGCCTTGAGACCACCGGGAGGGTGATCAGGAAGGGTGTTGTGGGGACTGACTGCTTGTTGCCGTCACAGCAAGAGCGTGGCCAGTTACAGCCCGACCGGCAGGGGGACGCGGCCCAGGATGGGGGCAGGTGGTCTGGCCGACCCCGGGACCCCTGGGGCCCTGGGTACACATCTCCTTTCGTCCAGAGCAACCCGGGCTCAGGCCAGAGGATGATCGTTCCACTAAGAATTTATCCACAGGCTGCCATGGTTTTCGTGCTCTGGCCCGAATGGCCTGTTCTCATGAGCAAGCAGTTTTAACCAGCAGTGTCACTTATGCCAGCAAACAGGGCTGGGAGGGGCCGTTCACGAGAGGCTGGGGCACGAGCTGACTTGGAAAGCAGCCCCCAAACAGGAGGCCTTGTATCTTTAGTGTCGCCCTCAACCGTCCTTTACTTAGAGCAAGAATTTCCGCTGCTTCTGCACCCAAGACAGGATTCGCCAGATGTTACTAATGTGCTTATTCCCGCTAAGTGCTATTTTGGCACCGGTGTTAATTGCAGTTTATATCCTGCGGCATTTTACGCCGGGAGAAGAGCCCACCCTAGTGGTCCCCAGTCGGCAGAACTGGGCTGTTAAGCGACGGGCCACGTGCTGCCTGCTGAGGGGGACTGGGCAGCACTGGCGCCCGCGTGCGTGCGCGTGTGTGTGCGTGCGCGTGCATGGACGTTTGTGCGCCTACACGTGTGAGTGCAGTCTGCTGTGGACGGGCTCTTGTTCCTGGTGTGCACGTGTGTGTGCACGTGTGTGTGCACGTGTGTGCGTGAGGCAGACACTGGGGGAGGTGGGAATGGGGGAGGAGGGGACCAGGGAGATGTCTCTGTTAAAGAGAGAAACCCCCGGCCTCCTGAGGCTGCCCCTGCCTGTGGCCCCTCCTCGCCCCTAGACCCCTCGGTCCCGCCTGCTCCCAGGGCTGTGGCTTTGCCGCCGCAGCATCAGGCAGCCTAGCTGACCGGTCCTGAAGGTGCTCCCCCAGGGAGGCTTCTTGAGCCTGAGGAGAGTAGAGACCCGCAGGCCCCCTTCCCTGCTGTCAGTGGCTTTTCTCTTTGTCACGTGCGAGTGTTTTTATTTCCGAGCTGAGGGGGCTGGATTAAGGGCACTTCACTCTCATACAACAAGGGCACGGATTTCATCCCCACCCGTCAGCTGCCCATCCGAGGACCCAAGGAGACAGGTCCGAGGGTCCCTCTAACGCAAGGCCCCCGAGGGCCTCTCCACTCAGGCCTGGGACGACGCCCCTCCTTGGGCAGGTCAGCAGGGCTGGGTGCTGAGGGTGACACTCCCTTAACCCCCTGCGCCAGGATCCAGAGCTGCAGGCCCCTCGGCCCAGGGGGCAGAAGCTTGCCAGGGGCCAGGGCTGGGAAAGTTGGCCGGGGGAATCTGAAGCCAGCAGTTGCAGCCTCACTGTGTCAGGGGCCTCCCTGGGTGCATGGCCTTGGCGGGTCTCAGGCCCCCCTCCCCCACCCGGCCCCGCCTGGCAGGAAGGGGAACTGCCCTGATGGGCCCACCCTCGCGTCCTCCTCTGAGTGGCACTGGAGCAGCCGGCAGCCTCCTGCTTCCTCTCGTTCTCACTGTTTGTTCCTTTAGGATTTGAAAATTGCTGAGACCTTGTGAGAAGCAGTAAGAGAAGTTCGTGGGTGAGGATATGACGCAGCGCGGCCGTGGCAGCAGGCTCCCACGGCTTCAGTCACAGAACCCGAGGTGCGGGGGACGTGGATGCTGACACCTGTGGTCCTTGTGGCCTCAGCCCCAGTCCCCCTGCCCCCTGACAGGACGGGTGGGGTTGTGCCGAGGGGCTCAGGGATGGTCGCTGGTCTTGTCTGCGTCTAGGGTGCAGGATTCCACTGGGCGTGATGAACAAATACCCACAGGAATTCACACAAACTGTGGGTCCGACACAGGCCAACCAACATCATCTAAATTACTTTCTAAAGCTCTTTCAAAAGCCAGTGAAGTGTGAGGTTTTGCATTGATGTCACAGGGTCAGGGCACCCACTGCGCCAGACTCCAAGCCGGCCGGCCCCAGAGGCCTCCCCGCCGTGCCCACTGCACTGGGGGGGCGGGGTACGAGAGGTGAGGGTGCTTTTTCACGTGTGGCCGTGGGCACGTGGCACCCCGCAGCCACCGGCGGTGCTCAGCCCCAGGACTGCTGCCCTCTGACCATCGCCCACCTGCCGGCCCCTCTGACTGGACAGTCTTGCTTAGCACGTTACCAATAGTAAGAGGGGTGAGGTGAGTTGCCAGGGTTTCTCACGGCATGCGCGTGACCAGGTGCTACATGACCGAATACACGTCACCTGCCTTTTGATGACCGACCTCCTTGTCCTCCGGTGAGGCCACTCCTGAATTTCACGTTCCAGCTACATTTTGAATGGGTATTTTCATGTAAATTTGTGGCATGTGAAAAGTTTCAAATAAAGTGGACCTGATTTAGAAAACCTGTGTGGTCCTTCCAGCAGGGGCACGTCCTGACCTTTCCTCTGCAGCCCCGGAGGGCGAGCTTAGGCAGTGGCGCTCTGGTCACCCGCTGCTGTGCTTGGCCCCTTGGGGGTCCCTGGATGGAGACGTGAGACCCAACGCGGGGCACCAGGCGCTGCCAGGGGCCATCAGCAGGCGACTGCTGTGAGGAGGGGCGAGGCCAGGATGGGGCTGGCGGGCAGGGGGCCAGGGACACTGGTGTGGCCCGAGGCTGCTCCCTGCCCAAGGGCTCCGTGAGGCTGGCAGAGACAGAGTCGGCACAGCCCTTATCTGGGGCCCGTGGGGACTGAGTCAGTTTCATTTTTTATTTAATACACATATTTGTAGTTTTCAGTTGTGGTGAAAAGTAAGTAACATAAAATTTACCGTCTTAACCGTTTTTATGTGTACAGTTCAGTGGCATTAAATAGCTTCTCGTCGTCGTGCAGCCACATCACCACCGTCATCTCCAGAACGTTTCCATCTTCCCAGACTGAAACTCTGCCCCACTAACCACTGTCCTCCCCCGCCCCCCGCCCTCAGCCCCTGGCACCCACCCTTCTACTTTCTGTCTCTCTGAACCTGACTCTCCCAGGGCCCTCATACGGGTGGAACCATAGCAGCATTTGTCCTGCTGTGACTGGCTTGTTTGCAGCA